TCCTCCTGTTTTAATTGTCTTCATATCCTCACTCTCTTTTCTACTGGGTTGTCTTTTTTTTGTGATTTAAGGTGTTTTTTTAATATATTTTGGATATTAGTCTTTTGTTATACATGTTTCAAGTTTTTCTGCCAGTTATTCATTGTGCTTCATTGAACAGAATTGTCAATTTTGATACAGTCAACTGTTTTTTCTTTATGGCTCTGGGGTTGTTGTCTGAAGTCCTTTCCTATCTCATGTTTTCTTTTTATAAAAAAATTCTAAAAGCTCTCTTTTAAAACAGTTATCTCTTTCAACTATGTGGATATTAATTTTATGAATGGCACGAGGTAGACATTTAACCTAGTTTTTCAAACGAATAACCAATTGTCAAAACACTGTTTATTAATTTTTCCCCACTGACTTGAAATGCCTTCTTCATAAATGAAACTCTCATACATACATGAGACTATTTCTGTATTTTTTTGTTCCATTATCCATGCTTATCTCAATATCATACAGATTTACTCTTACAGTTTTATACTATGCTTTGATATAAGGCAAGTCACACCCCTCTTTATTTCATTTATAATAATAAAAAAAGATTTTTAAAAATCTATTCTTCATTGTTTAACTGCCTGCTTCTCCTGTCTTGAGCTCCAGCTAACAAGGAGGTAAAGCAAAAATTATCCGCAAGCAAGACAAAGGAGCACGGGAAATGAGGGAAAGGAGAAAAAAGACAAATGTTTTCAAAGTGGTATTTTCCCTTTTATACTTCAAGAATCTACCCTATGAATTATGGCACATATGAGATAAGGTAGATTTTATGTGTTCAGCCATTCTCTAAATCAAAGCTGCCTGTGGCTTCTATTGCTAGTCAGTTACCAAGGGTAGGTACCATGTAAATATAAAATATGAATGGATGGGAAATAGAAACATGAATCAACGTGAGAAAATAAACAAAGAGTAAAGTGAATAAAGAACATGGTGAGAGGAAATAAAATACTTGTATTTGTCTATGGACCCACCTGTCAGGAAATAAAATCTCTGAGCTTAGTGCATCCATTGTGTCCTGGGTTCTTTCTGCTACCTTTACTTATATCATTTACTGTTTTATATAGAGGGGTCAGCTCTCTAATTGGTAATTGAAATGACAGAGAAAGAAAATGTATTATTAGGGGTATTATAGGAATGAGTAATAGAAAATATCATGTTAATTGAAAGTTGGTAAGCATTAAAAAGGGAACTAAGCAAATAAAGTGTCTGTTGTAAAATATTCACACTGAACAGTTTAACCTTTAAATATAACCATTGTACACAATATGGTTATACTCAACTTAAATTTATAACTGTTTTCATAGTAAAGCTAATGTTACACAAGTAAGAAAAGCTGTCATGTGGGCAAGTATGGCTTTAAATCAACAGTTAATTATTTACAATGGATTTAGTTGTTCCTGGTTGAAATAACATGTTGATAGGACTTGGTGATTATCAAGGGACTTGTGTACAATGCAGTGTAACCAAAGTTTCAGTGCCCAGTAAACAGGAATAGGCAATAATAGAGCCTTTTAATGACCATTCACACAAAAATAGCCTTATTTTTTATGGTGTTGGAATGTGAACATTGTGATTTATTGATCTCCTTTTAACACACCAATTTATAATTAGTTGCCTTATGTTTAAAATCAGACTATTTTTTAGTAAAGCAACAATTGAGTTCAAGTTTTAAATATCTGCCTCAAGAAGCATGATAAAAATGTACTTTAAAGTCATTTCTTCCTTTGTCTTACATTAAATTTAGAGTTGGAGACAAACCATTACTTCTAGATACTGTAGTGAAATTTACCATTACCGTAGCAAATGAGTTTGTATTTTAAAATGTTCATAATCTGCTAACTTCACGAAACCTAACGACCATTGGTTTTAAAACAAGCTTTTTTGTATACCTGAAGGTGTAGCTTTTGATAAAAAAAAAAATTTTGAAAACTAGTGTAACTATTTTATGGTATCAGATGAATTAATATGAATTGTATAGCAAAATTTCTCTAGGTGGAGCTCATCCAGGTAAGTTGTGGGCATTTCCTAGGAAACTAGAGCTAACGAAAGAATCTTCAGTTGCTTCCAATACTCAGTCTTAGCGTGGTCCTCGGCTACGATGTGGGCTTATGAGCTGGTTCCACAGCGGGCGCTGATGAGAGGCAGGAGCGTGTGGACGCTCTGATGCGGTTGCGTACGTTTAAGTGCTTCCCGCTCTTACCGTTTAGGCTTAGACTTTTAACTGCCACTGGCTCCCTGGTTTGGCTTCCTACTCTGTCTGGTGCCCCCTGGTGCTCACCACCTGTATAAACATGAGTAGTTGCGAGAAGCAAGGGGTCCAGGGAACCCAAGGATGCTTTCAAGGAAAGCATTCCATTACTATGAACTGTATGGTTCCAGATTTCCTCTATGTCCAAAGCCATGGTTAAATTGCATGTGTACTTTCATGGACCTCTAGAGAAAGAGGAGGTATTGTTTTACTAAGCCACCAATCAAAAGAAAGATGGAAATTAAGTTTCAACAAACTACACAAAAGTCAACTCAGCTCTCTCGAGTTTGTGCTAAAAGATACAAAGATCTGTAGAGTTTATCTTTTCTTGAATCCACCCCTGCACCGTTTTTTTGTTTGTTTCTAGCAAAGATTTTGCTAAGATCCTTGATTTCAGTAGGACAAGACCATCTCCGAGAGCCAGAATATCTGTTTAGGGCTGGGGCCGAAAATGTGGCCTTAATTGCTATGGAAAGGAGGATAGAAGATAATTTTTCCTGTCTCCTTCCCCAATTCATTTAATCAATATTAATCTTATGCGCAATCTTTACAAAGTTGCTTTTACCTACAGAAGGAGTCGTTAGCTCTTCTGACTCCCTGATCTCAGGCTCTGGTTCTCCTGCTTTGCCTTCCCCCTCCACCACCAAACTCCTACAGTCACTCAACACTCTCCATTAGAGAACAACAGATCATTTTTCATTGCATGGCAACCCGAAGAGCTCTCTCTCTCGCTTTAGCAGAGCATGATAGGAGTCTCCTCTTGTCCGGCCTCCCTCTTCTTTTTTTCTTCCTTCTCTTCTTCAACAATTTATCCCTAAATAATGATTTTCCCAGCTATCGCTGACTTAAGGATGGGGTTTAGCGACTCACGGTGACGCTCCCATCAGCCTCCCAGAAGGGGCGGTTTTCACAAGAAAACTACAACTCCCATGAGGCATAAAGCTAACCAACTGCAGGGCATCACGGAAGTTGTAGGCTCCTTCTGTCTGAGTCCCTTTTACTCCTCGAATTTTGAAAACTAGTGTAACTATTTTATGGTATCAGATGAATTAATATGAATTGTATAGCAAAATTTCTCTAGGTGGAGCTCATCCAGGTAAGTTGTGGGCATTTCCTAGGAAACTAGAGCTAACGAAAGAATCTTCAGTTGCTTCCAATACTCAGTCTTAGCGTGGTCCTCGGCTACGATGTGGGCTTATGAGCTGGTTCCACAGCGGGCGCTGATGAGAGGCAGGAGCGTGTGGACGCTCTGATGCGGTTGCGTACGTTTAAGTGCTTCCCGCTCTTACCGTTTAGGCTTAGACTTTTAACTGCCACTGGCTCCCTGGTTTGGCTTCCTACTCTGTCTGGTGCCCCCTGGTGCTCACCACCTGTATAAACATGAGTAGTTGCGAGAAGCAAGGGGTCCAGGGAACCCAAGGATGCTTTCAAGGAAAGCATTCCATTACTATGAACTGTATGGTTCCAGATTTCCTCTATGTCCAAAGCCATGGTTAAATTGCATGTGTACTTTCATGGACCTCTAGAGAAAGAGGAGGTATTGTTTTACTAAGCCACCAATCAAAAGAAAGATGGAAATTAAGTTTCAACAAACTACACAAAAGTCAACTCAGCTCTCTCGAGTTTGTGCTAAAAGATACAAAGATGTGTAGAGTTTATCTTTTCTTGAATCCACCCCTGCACCGTTTTTTTGTTTGTTTCTAGCAAAGATTTTGCTAAGATCCTTGATTTCAGTAGGACAAGACCATCTCCGAGAGCCAGAATATCTGTTTAGGGCTGGGGCCGAAAATGTGGCCTTAATTGCTATGGAAAGGAGGATAGAAGATAATTTTTCCTGTCTCCTTCCCCAATTCATTTAATCAATATTAATCTTATGCGCAATCTTTACAAAGTTGCTTTTACCTACAGAAGGAGTCGTTAGCTCTTCTGACTCCCTGATCTCAGGCTCTGGTTCTCCTGCTTTGCCTTCCCCCTCCACCACCAAACTCCTACAGTCACTCAACACTCTCCATTAGAGAAGAACAACAGATCATTTTTCATTGCATGGCAACCCGAAGAGCTCTCTCTCTCGCTTTAGCAGAGCATGATAGGAGTCTCCTCTTGTCCGGCCTCCCTCTTCTTTTTTTCTTCCTTCTCTTCTTCAACAATTTATCCCTAAATAATGATTTTCCCAGCTATCGCTGACTTAAGGATGGGGTTTAGCGACTCACGGTGACGCTCCCATCAGCCTCCCAGAAGGGGCGGTTTTCACAAGAAAACTACAACTCCCATGAGGCATAAAGCTAACCAACTGCAGGGCATCACGGAAGTTGTAGGCTCCTTCTGTCTGAGTCCCTTTTACTCCTCGAATAAGTAAACTACAAGTCCCAGGAGCCTCGGTACTGACACGCCTGCGCGAGAGCCTCGAGAGTGAGGTGGGGGTGGG